GGGAGGGGAAAGAAGGGTGGGGCCAGTCAGTTCGACAATGATCTCAAGGCTGTCTCCTCCCTGCTTAAATATTTCCTTCGATTACCTTTTCCATGAGCAGTGCTCGAATACAACGTCTTGAAAGCACGGCACTAGGACGAGATCGCTGTCTTCTCTGTCGATGCCTCCACCCTGCTCATATTTTTCCTTCGATTTCCTTTCCAATGAGCAGTGTTGTTCGTATTTAACATCTTTTCATTGCAATTGTTCTGTAATTGTTCATGATCATCCTCGGAAAATAATTATTTTGCATACTTTGCTGTCAGATTTATCAGGGTCGAGAAGAAATTGCCGACGTGTTTTTGCTGCTCTCACACACTTGGTAGACATCATTCTCAGTCCCGCAAGCAGCGGTTGCGGTTACTCCCGTCAGCGTGATGTTGGACATGCGGAGTTTGTGAAGTTCCTTTTTTTTTCCTGGTTTTGAAGGACGACGGCCTTTACCGGTCCCAGGTGAATTCAGAAATATCCGATTTTTTTTTACTTCTATGTAGAATCGAACTCAGGTCTGTATTTAAACAGTTAACGGGAGTACCCGCTGTACCGACTGAGCTATGGGCGCTGGTTGTGGAGCTTGTAGTTTGTGAAGACGACCTTGAGAGGATACTTTACACAGCGTGTGATTGAAAGGGACTAGTGAACAGAGATGTGCCGCAACCCTGCACGAGCCTGGGGTGCGACGTTATTGGGGGAAGTCATAAAACCTCCCCGCGATGAAACCTTTGTATCCATTTCCCCCCAAACGGGGAAAAAAGATATGTTGCGTAGAGGACACGTACGGCGCCTTTCCGTACGAAACGTACAGGTAATATCTATACGGGATCTGTACGGGGAACTGTACGTCTTGTACATCCCCTACAAAAAAAAAAAAAAAAGGTCATCAAAAAAATCCGAAAAAAAATTATGTGATGCGACAGCACAAAAAACCAAACAACATTTGGCTCAGCATTATCTCCAGATTCTTATTCGAATTTGAGAATAAAAAAAAAAAAAAACTCGTAGTGGTCCGGTAGTGTACGAGTAGCGTACGAATACAGGAGTACAAATCCGTACTCATACGAGGGTGCGTACAAGGCGCAACGCAGAAAAAAAGTGCCGCAGGTCCCAAAATCACTTTTGGTGTCATTTTTGCACCCTGTCTAGGCCGGTAACGGCCGCTGTGCAAAAATGGCCGCCGCTGCGTAAAAATGGAGGGAAGTGTTTTGCAGGGTGCAAAAATGATGCCGAAAGTGATTTTGCGGCACCTTTTTCCCGTTTGGGGGGAAATGGATACAAAGGTTTCTTCGCGCATACAGGCACACACACACACACACACACACACACGCACACACACAAACAGTCAGTCACACAGACACACACACGCACATACTTAAACACACAAACAGTCAGTCACACAGACACACACACACTCGCTGTGACTCGCACACATACACACTCACACACGTGCGCTCACACATGCACACACCAGCGTGCACACACAAGCACGCCCCCACACACACTCCACTCACACACCCACACACACGCACACACACACACACACATGGGGGGGGTTGGGCAATGGGCATTAAAAAAAAAACAATAATAATAGTAATACAAATAATAATAATCAGTAAAAAGAATTGAAAAAATTGTTGGGGTTCCCCAACACGTAACCCCCCCGTTTGTAAAATGAAAACAACCCCCTACCTGGGAGGGGAAAAAAAAAAAAAAAAACCTGCCTTCCCGCTCACAGTGGCTCACCGTGATGACCATTTCGGGAGGCCGGTCGCCTCCTGTCACAGACCCCCCCCTTTCATGAACAGAGGTACGACACTGGTCGTTTTAGCAGTTGGAGAGAGAGAGAGAGAGAGAGAGAGAGAGAGAGAGAGAGAGGGAGAGAACGAGTGGTGGGCACTGGGCAGGAGGATGCCGAAGATGGCAAACGAGGAAAACTTGGAAAGGGGGGGCGGGGAGGACGTGGTGATGGGCAAGTTTACCAGGGAGAAAAGATTTTGCCAGCCCTAGAGGTAAGTGAGGCCCCGAGTCTGCTCGAGTTACATGATGGTGCAACTCGTCTCACTTACACAATTAGTGTTGTTCAGGCCAAGGAACAACCCGAGTTGGTCTCGAACCCTGCACCCACTGGTATAACTCGGGCATCAAACGAAATGAACAAGGCCTTTGGGACATACCTGTCCGTTTTTCTACTTTGTTTCTGAGAAAGGGAGGTAGCGTTAGATCCCTTGGCAAGACTGCGCCTACAAATCTCGTCCAGCATATACACTGACGGTAAAACCTCGATGTGGTGTAGTCATGAGACCATTGGCCCGCATGTCAACTGTAGGTCTTTACTGGACGTCAGAGAACGTGGTGGTGTGCCCAGTCCGTGCCCCCCCCTTGCGCCTTTTATGTCAGGAGCTTTCTTGTGAGGACAGGGAAGGTGAATAAAGGCCACTCCAACTGTGACTCGACTCCTTGACAAGTTCCAATACATTGGCAATGCCAGTGCTCCGTTCGATAACTGCTATGCTGTGGCGTGTCAGTTCCAGGTTTGTAGATGCACTCTGCAACGCCGCCCACTTCTGAAGTTTCCCCAAGGCAATGCCCACGCTGTTTAGAGGTATTGGCGAAGACTCCGCGGCATGCAACCTCGTCTGGCTATTCTTAGAGGCTGATGGTGAAGCTGCATTTAACTCCAGTTGATAGACCCGAGGAAGAATGAGGAGAAGCACTTGGGCAGCCCCGTTTCTTATCTCGCTATGCAGCTCGTCTTCCCATACTTGAAGCCTCGAGCATCGTTGCAGCCTCGGGAAAGGCCTCATGAGTAGCTGGACGAAGGGAGGGAAGCAAGTGCTCAGCAAATGATGGTCAAAATGGGACTGCACAAGACCTGGATACCGTGTCAGCACGAGAACAGCGATCATGACAGCGTATCTCGTGGCGAGTAGAACGTTCACTTCTCTCTCTTTGTGTTCCATCCGGTTCTCTGCACCTTCCTCTAAGGACGAGCTGATGTTCTCCAAAAGGCCGAATGCCGGCCTCCAGGCTGGGTTTCCCAAGCACTCCCCAAAGAGGAGGACAAAACGAGCTGAAAAGTTCAACTGAGTAAGGTAAATAGTAGATGGCCTCGAAGCGCTCTCCTTCAAGGATGAGCTTGCATTTGCCAAGTCTCTTTGGATTTGCATCGCTTCAAGGTGGAGGATGGAAGATAAGCTCATGAACAGCGTGCGGTAGAAGGCAGGGTTGTCGGAAGGCTTGGGCAGCAATGCACTGCTCACCTCCGGCGAGCTGATGAGCTCCGCTAGTAGCCCTGCAGCTGCTGCCACACAGTTGTTCTTATGTGTCCCGATCTCTGTGGACCAGGTCTTCTCCTTCACCTCAGAATGTGACAGGTCGTGGAGCAGGCGATTGTCGAAGATCCCAGGGTCAGTGGCGAAGAACAGGGCGCCTCTCATAGCACTGACTCTACTGCTGAGCATCAGCCTGAGGCAGTTAACTTCCCCCGCCGACCGCCGGATGAGACTCTGCAAGGCAGATTTCTCCGTCGATGTGACAAACAGATCACGAAGGGTTTCGATCACCTCGCAGGTGAGCCAATCTACCTCTCTGGGACCCAAGGCTCGTTTCCAGTAACAGAGACACTGGAGTAGCATCTCAGCAACCTCCTCATCAATGTCACGGATGCCCTGAGAGATGAGAATCTTGGCCAGATGCAGCTTGGAGAAGACGGTACCAGGCAGATACTGAGGATGTACTTCGGGGTCGCTGAAGAGTCGAACCAAGCCTTTCAGTTTCTTCTGGATGTTGTCTTGATTATCCAGTTGGTCAATGGAAGCCATGGGGGGAGGGAAATGCTCCAACAGGCGATCGTCAAAGCGGTGCCACGTGATCATCCTGCGGGACCAGAGCGCCGAGAGGGTCCTAATCGCATCCGCAACAACATTACAGGGCCAGTTGTCCGACTTGCTGGCAAGGTCGAGCAATGCGTCCACAATATCCGGTGCCATTAGTTCAGACCGGACACTATTCACCCAGACATCGTTTGCACGTTGGAAATCTGGCTCAGTGGTCTGCAGAAGCCACCCGACTGGAGACTGAGTGGTGTACGCGTTGCTCAGTTTGCGAGCATAGCCTGTATCGACCTCATCTCCGGACTTCATTACATCCCTTGTGAGCCCTGTCTTTGGTTGAGTACGTGGTCGCTGATGTCCATGGAGGTGAGCGTGTATGTCGCTTGCAGCCTGGGCGAAGGAGTTCAGTGCAGAAGTTGTCGCTCGAAGAGTGACGGGGCTAGCATTCCCTCCCGAGGCTGTGTAACAATCAGTCGGTGGACCACAGATGGTTGTAGGGCAACGTGTTCTGCCCACGATCCGACAACGGAACTCGTGCAGCAGATCCAGTGTTATGTATCGGAAGTCGTCGTCCTCCAGCATTTCCAAGATGAAGTGCTGTAGATCCCCCTCCCGTTCACGTCTGGCGGGATATGGCTGCCAAGGGAGAACAGAGAGGCCGGAAGCAAACCCTGCGAGGATGGAGGCGGCCAGTTCGATATCTTCAGATTCTGCAGGACAGCACTTGATCACATGTAGCATAGTCAGGTACCCACGGGCTCGAGCGAACTCTAGACCGGCGTCAACGTCATGTCTGCAGCGAGTACTCTGCGGAAGATCCTGCATGTGATCCAGCATGTCCTCTGCGGCGAACAACTCGCAGTCGCACGATTTCGTTTGCCAAACATATCCCTCTTCGTCTTCCTCCTGCACTATGCTGATCGGACAATCCGGGAAGGTTCTCACGCACCATATCCACCAGCTCTTCGACGCTATGGAACCAGAACCCGGGAAGACCGCACACTTCCTTGTGGGCATGGGCTTCGATGGCGCTGAAGCAGACATGGCGACTCTCATGAACGTACCACGTTATGCCCTTTTGCGTCTCCGCACGTGCCCTCTCGAGCCGCTCCCAGAAAGGGCAATCCGCTGTCTGACGCAGAGGTTCGGCCTGTCGACAGGTTCGGCAGCACCCTCCAACGTCAAAAAGCCTCTTGAGAGAAGTGAGGCAGAAACGTAGGCACGCGTACGCCAAGCCAAAGAAGACGAGAATACCCATAAGGACAGAGTGCAGAGAAAGACATACGCAAGTGACGACAAGGAACTCGTGCACGTGCTTCAGTCCCAAATCCTTGTCATAATCTGGGTGGCCTTTCAGCTCAGGGATTGCCCGATAAAGGAAGACACCTAGAGAAACCTCGGCGACCATCGCACAGAGACGGACGAGCGCACTGAGAGCCACGTACGCGAACGTCGACCGAATTGCGCCACCCAGCACTGTGAAACTTCCTACAATAACCGGGCACGGGTGAACTTCCCTTCTGGCGACCTGCGCGCACGACATGCCCTCGAAGTACACTCCGTGGATAAATCCCCTGAGCAACTTGGCGAGTGCACCTAAAAGCAGAAGCGGTATACAGGTCCAGAGGATCTTCGACGGCATATCTGGATGAAAGCATCCTATCTGAACCGTAAGGATAGTCAGGACCAGGAACCCGGTTCCGCTCTCTACGACCTCTACAAACCGGTAAATCTGTACTTGCCTTTTGAGACTGCGAGATATCTTGTAAGACATTGTTTGCCAATCAGTTGTCGAAGCCCTCGTTTGAGCAACCCTAAGTGCTCTCTCTCTCTCTCTCTCTCTCTCTCTCTCTCTCTCTCTCTCTCTCTCTCGCTGTCTGTGTGTGTGTGTGTCTTTTTCTCTCTCTCTCCCTCTGTGTGTGTGTGTGTGTGTGTGTGCTTGTCTGTATAACTGCAGTTATCACTAGATGTCTGGGCTATCAGTCTACGTATCAATGGATGGATAATCTGCCGACATTATCCATCCACTTAACCAATCGATGTCTCCGACCTGCGTTTGTAGAACAGAATCTGCATGCATTATCCATCCACTGAACCAATCAATCTTTCGGACCTCGGAAACCTCTAGTAGAAGCCAAAAGGAAACCTACCCAAATACAAAACATGCGACTGGACTTCAGTATGGTAGTATAGCACTCAGTTTCTCAAGTTCGATCTGCTATCAAGGCCGACACATCTTTCATTCATCTATCTATCCCTCCACTCATGCAAGCATGAATTCATTCCGTCCATCTACCCCTGTCCAGCCATTTGCGTCTTCGTCTATTTCCTCAGGACCTCAGGTCAGCCTGACCGTCTTTCTTTTTTTCTATGGTTCGATCGATGTAACAGGGGGTATATCAGTGGATCGAGTCCATCTATCTATCTATCTATATATCCATACCTCCTTATTTAGTTTAATCCATTTATGTCTTTGAAATCTTTCCGTCTTTCCGCCTGTGGTTTCTCCCTGTCCCTCCCGTGCCGACCCTTCCGCCCCCTGACCCCCAACCCCTTTTTCGTCACTCATTAGTAGCCAACCCCTCCACAGGCGTGAACTATCATAGCGATGTATTAGCGCACTGTTCACTGGATCGATAGTTACGCGTCATCTCTCCTAATCTATCCATGCATCTATCTTCCTATTAGGATCGTTATATCTGCTTTCCCCTCTAACTACTGTAGCTGTCCAGTTTACTCAAATATCGCAACAAAATCCGTGAAGAGCATCAGCGTCGGTTCACCGCCCAGAGAAAATTCATACAGAGTGCATACAACCACGACTCTAGAAAGGCACCAGGACCTGTCTCGGCTGCAGTCGCCACCTCGTCAGGGGGAACCCACAGCTTCTCCCCCGACCGTAATAGAATCAAGATTATCTTTTCCGGTAAGTGGAGAAAGAAGGACAATCCAGACGAGCGAGAAACCTACATGATGGCGCGCAAAACCCCCTCCTTCGGCTCGTTCTCTTTCTTTGTCTTTTTTTCTAAACAAATTCCGTGTTCTTATCTTCTGAAGACCGGTAACTTTCTCGGCATAACGGCGAATCCTTGCGCTTCTGAGGACTGTGTTCTATCGTTCATCCCCTCACTTCTTTTGACGATTTAGACAGCGGACAGCATGACAGTAATTCGCCGCAAACACACACGCTTCGTTCAAACCGCCTACATGCAAATTAATGCCAGCGAACTTCGACTTACACGTCAACCACGTAATTACTTGCAACTCAACCACCAAATTCCCCACAGATTCACCCAAACACCCCAGAAAGAGCCCAGCACACGTACACACGAGAAAGGGCCCAACAGAAACACTTTCAAAAGTTCCACAGTCGAAACTCTGAGAATGACTTCAACCGAATACTAAGCACAAATCTATCAATCGCCTCCTCAGATGCATTTCCGTTATCGGGGAAGCAAGCCCCTTCCACCCTCATCCCGATATTACTTAACTGCTTCATCGCTCAACCGACCAACTTCTTCTCCGGTCACCAATTTGAACATCCTTCGCGGCACGGGATGGCAGTGTAGGAGAGCTCTTCTGAAGTGTTAGGAACTCCCGTTACCACCCTAAACTCCCGTGCACTGTGGCGCCAACGCCAAAACCTTTTCGGTTTTCGGCGACCAAAGTTCGGCTCAAGACATTTGGGCAAGTAGTTGGGATAATTGGTAGAAAGAGTCCACGCCAAATCCTTTCCGGTTTTGGGCCCCCGAAACTCGGCCGTTTGGTACTACCGGCCCAGACCGTCTTCGGCCTGGGTGAAAGATGCCCTCGCGCCGTGGCCACATCTCCCTGGGCCTGTTTTACAGGTACAAGAGTTTGGCTCCTTTTTTGCGCCAGATTCGTCAACCGGTAGAGCCCTTCTTTTTCAAAATCGCGTACGTGGGCCTAATTCGATACTTCAGCGGTACCACCGCCGGCCTCTTTTACATCAAAATAAATCTGGTGCTGTTATGCGCCAGATTCATGATCCGGTAGGGCCCTTGGAGGGCCGCGTGGGCCTGTAGTACCCCACATGCAAGTCATTGGGCCGGTAGTACCAAAGGGCTAAACTTTGGGCAGCCAAAACCGATAAGGTTTTGGCGTGGGTGCCTTCTACCGATTATCCCCAGTAGTTCCACACGGCCGAAGTTTGAGCGCCCGAAACCGAAAAGGTTTTGGCGTGGGCGCTTTCTACCGGCTCTTTCGTTAACTGCGCGCCAAGAGCGGATGAGAGACAAGATGGAGAGGGTTTCTCTAAATGCCTCACATCTGTACATGAACTAAGCACTGATCAGGACGTGAACATTGTGCGAACACGCACACAGAATGAAGTGCTTGAATGGGCTCACTAAAAACAGGGCAAGAGTACAATAGGATGAGGTAAGAGAAAACACTAAGAACGACTGCCTTCGTACTGGTTCACCCACGACTGCCTTCGTACTGGATCACCCGTGCCATGGGGTTGAGATTCCAGATAAGTACCGCAGTTTCCCAAACGGGGTATGTGTGTCGTATTGTCGCGAGCGAAGTAGCAAGTAATTAGGGCCTCGCCACACCGCTGTCGAAACGAAAAATGCATGAGTGCATCTTCCCGCAGAGAATGGCAAGATTGTAACGTAACAACCAATGCATCTTGCCACTTTCTCGAGAAGATGCATTCATCCTTTTTACGTTTCTACACTGGTGTGACGAGGCCCTTAACGTTTGGTAATGGTGCCTGTTTTGCACCGTCAAAAGCTCTATCGGCCGATCGAATCTGGCTACCACTCCTCTCTCTCTCTCTCTCTCTCTCTCTCTCTCTCTCTCTCTCTCTCTCTCTCTCTCTCTCTCTC